AGAAGAGAGACAAACCAGGGCCACAGACGCCACTTGAGAGGCCATCTCTTCCAAGCCTATCCTAAAGACTAATGCTGAATTCATCATTTTAAATCATAATTTTCATCTAATCTCGTAAGGACAAGTCAAACTACTCCATAAAACAGCAGTTCTGAGATGCATATTATCCGCTGCTTGGCCCCATCCCAATTTCTTCATGAGTGTTGTTAGTCTGTCAGATACCAGTCAAACATGGTATTTGGGTGCTGGGTATACTCAAATTTATTCTCTAATTTTTAAAAAAGCTATAGCCCCAATTCGATATGAAATTTTCTGAACTCTAAGAGAAGAGAGGAGGCATTTGAAAAATGCAAAGGGAAGGGCTTGTAGAAATGACCTACTTAGCCAGTTATAGATTAACCACACCCCATAGATCTCTAAATGGTCTTCTGGAAACTGTTGCAACACCTACAAGATAAAGGATCTGTAAATAGATAGGACCAGTGGTCTGGGAATTCCCTTCCCCTTGGAGCCCCCACCTAAAACTCCCCCTGCCCATCCTGGGTCATGAGGTACACGTAAAACCTCAAAGGAATCACGCGCTTCTTGCATGGACACTGCAAAGGTATATAACCTGTAAGAAATCTAACCAAGGGGAACTCATGCTTTGGTGCTGTTAAGCCCCGCATGCTCTGCCAGTTAATAAATTCACCTTCCTCTAACAAAGTTGTTTGAGCATCCAAATTCCTCCTTGGGGTGTCGCTTCCTACAACGTAAGTACTGTGTTTCTCTACATTTGCTTCTCCCAGATAAAGAGATAATGCAGAATAAAGAGGAAGCCAAAGAGATCAGTTAAAATCTCAGCTCCAGGACCTAGGCAAGCTGTGTAAGCTGAGTCTCCATTTCTTTATCTACATGATGGAAATAAAAATATCTGCATGATTTTTATGAGAAAATAGATGTCAAAAGCTTACTATTACTATAATTATGGCATAAGCACCAAAATTACTGTAATAAAACCTATGGAATGTAGAGACAGGAAATTTAGGGCAGTCCTAATAAATTTTCCTCAATGATGCAAAAACATTATTTTAAATAACTTCAATTGTCAAAAACATATGTTCAGATTGTGGTCTCTAAATAAAAGGAACCAAGGCCTTTTGGGTAAACAGTTGATTCCAGGTCTAGGGCAGAAAATATACAAGATGAACCTGAGATACTTTGCTGTGTTAGCAAGCAAGGAAGGGGTTAACAGAATATTGTGGTCATGTGAAAAATTCACAAGAACAAGCCTAAATGGGCTCCCACTGGCCAAAGATAAAACAATTTCAGTATCAAAAACATTAACATCATAAGATGAAATCAATTATCTAAAAATCCATTAAAATAAAATGATAGGCATTAAAAAAAAAACCAAAATTAAACTTATTGGCCACCTTTGGAGGTTGCTGGATGCCTTTTACTATTTTGAAAATAAAGAAAAAAAATGAAGCAATTACCTTGGCTTTCCTGAATGAACAATGTCAGGGAAAGTTTTTCCTTAGAAAAATATTCTAGCTAATAAATGCAGAATGAATGATAGACTATGACAATTCTGCAATTCCTAATGATATAGACAACAATTACCAATTGGATATTAAAATTACTAGTGAAAAGTCAATGGCGAACTTTTATAATAGACAAGGCTGCCAATGGCTAAACCCACTGGTCACTCTTGACATCACCAAAAGTGAGATAACCAGATCACGTGCTGCCTGGCATGAGAAAACAGGAACTGCACAGCATCACTAGGAGTATCCAAGCTGCTAGATCTAGTCAACACCAGGAGAATGTAATTAGACAAATCTAGAATGTGAGAAATTCCAGAGAATAATCTAGTACTGTCAACGAATAAATGGTATGCCAAAAACAGGGTGGCAGCTGTACCAGTGAGACAGGCCAAGCAACCAAATGTGACGCGTAGATCTAATCTGGATCCTGATTTGAACAAATCAATTATAAAACATATTGTGGAGACAAGGGGAAAAGCTTACATATCGTCAGAAAATCAGATGACATAAAAGAATCGATTTTGTTAGATGTAACAGATACTCTACTCATGTTAAAAAGTAAAATGTCCTTACCTGTTAGAGATATACACTAAAGTAAATTCTGAGTAGAAGGACATGGTATTTACTTTACTTTAAAATACTCCAGGGGGAAAAAAAGGTAGAGGGGGCAAAACAAGAATGGTAAATGTTGGTAACTGTTGAAAAGGAGTTATGGGTACATCATTTTACTATATTTTCTATTCTCACTTATTTTAGAGCACAAAAAAAACTTTTATGGACACTCTATCATTTACGTGTATATTTTTACCATCATATAAAAGCCACCTCTCTAAATATTGAGATTATCTCATCCACTGTTAACATTTTTGTTTGACTTTTTCACAGCATTTCAGAAAGTTCTCTTGGTTCAATTCAGTTCTCCTTTTGACCACTGAAACTGCGTAAGAAGTGTCAGGACTGTGCGGTAAGGAGGAAGACGACTTACCCTGAGCCTGCAGAAGTTTGAGGGTAGCCTCAGCCCTGGCTCTAGCTTCTCGCTGGGACTTAGTTAAAAGTTTCCCTTCTTTTTTCAAGCGTTCTTTTCTTTCTTTTTCTTTTTGCTTTTTCCGTTCTCTTTTCTCTTGTTCCAATCTTTCCTATAAAAGAATACACATCAGAAAACTGTATTGGCTTAATCAATTATAAAACTTAAACAACTCAAACTCCAAACAAAGCTTTTGAGATATATGCAAAGTACTGTGTTAGGAGATTCCAAATGAAAGTATTTTAAATGTTGTACATGATTTTTTAATCAATATCACAGGAGAGTAGACTATGTTGGCCATGATACGCAAGTTAACTTCTGCTTGTACCTGAGGCAATAAAGGCAGGATTTTTCTGCACCTCTTCCTTTTATTAAGTCAGAACAAATAATTGGCATACCAAAAACAGGATGCTAGTGGTATCAGTGAGAGACAGGCCTAGTGACCAAATGCAATAAGCTAACTGAATTACCATACCATTAGTACATTTTAGAGAGACATTAAGTTAAACACAACATCAACGTGAGCAGCTTCATGAAAACGTACCTCTTCTTTGCGCTTGGCCTCCAATTCTTCAAGCCGTTTCACCCGTTCTTCCTCCTCTCGCTTCTGTCTCTCTTCTTCTTCTTTAAGCTTAGCCAGAGCTTCTTGCATAGCTTTAACGGTAGCTTTGCTAGGTCCTTTTTTCTTCTCTTTCTCTTCTTTTTCTATTTTCTTTTTCTTCTTATCTTTTTTCTTTTTGTCGCTTTCATTGTCATCTACCAAAAAATATATATATAGTTAAAGTGTTTTTTAAAAAAGTTGCTTCCTAAGGCAATGGATGAGTAAACCCCAGAACCCCAGAATGGGCTGAAGCTGATGCCAGCAGCAGACCAGTCTCTAGGCTCAAGGCATCCTGAGCACCTGAGTACCCAGAACAGCTCAGAACAACCCAGCTGGCCTCCTTAGAAGCCTAAAATGCTGGTATTGCTGAGTTGTCCTCAGGGATGCAAGAAGACAGGAGGATCTCG